TATATTATGCATTTATCCTGGCTATATGCGTGGTTTCTTAGCAACAATGTGGATTCTGGTTCCCTTTTGCTAATACGCGCTCAAAAGCGGCTAATTATCCCATTATATGAACCCAAAACTGCTTTCATGTCTGGAAAGAGCACTTGATGCACAAATGCTAAGGATACCCCCTGCACTCATAAAGCTCCTCCCGGTTTTGGACTCATATAATGGATTAATTAGCTTCTCGTGGGCGCATAGAACATCTGTATTGGAGAATAGGGTTACAACTTGACTTGTTAAGGGGAAGGTCGCATATAGCCAGGGTAAATGCACGATTTTATCAGGTTGGTAAAGTTCGAGGTCGAGGGCGGCAGCAAGGGAGAGAAGGGCGCATATAGAGTGTATAGACAAGCGTGAATATTGTGTAATACCCGTTTCCGTATTGCTACAAAAATCCCTTGCCAAATCGGGCTTTGTGGATGGCTGCATCGCTTCCCAAGTCCCGCTTGACCCTCTCCAAAAGCCTCGTTCTTGTATCGCGAATTCCTCCGTCAGTTTTTGTCCAATCTTGGGGATATTATACTTGATCGATAGCCCTTGATCCTGGCTATCGAATGATATCCTACCCGTACGAATAAAATTAATATTCACCGAGATAAATGCACTTTAAATCGAAGTATTTTTTTTCGAGTGTATCTCGCCCCCCCTACCGTAGAACACGCTTCTGGGGTCGTTTTAAAGGCAGTAAAAACTGTTAAAAAGGGAAGGCCCTAGCCGGACTCGAACCGGCGTTACCGGAATCTGGTTCGAATCCGGATAAACCGATTCAAATCAGAATCCGAGGTGATAACCTCTACACTATAGAGCCTCTGACGGGGCCTTTGTATTTAGCTATATGTCCTATACTCTTAAGCTTCCACCTCACTGCCTAATATAATTTAAAGGCTTTTAGCTTGCAGTTATGAAACGATGAAACGATTGAGCCTCCACACCCTTTGTTGGAGGATGACAGAGATCATGTCAAAAATGGGGGTTAATAGGCATGTATGCGCCTTTCGCTGAATCGGGTCACGTCATTGACATATTCCGTATATTGGATCGCTAGAGCTGCAATTATATACACACTTAGAGATACTATTGGGAGTTACTGTTTAGACAACTTGAAGACACGGACAAAGGAACTGAACCATCGATGGCCTTGAGTGGTCATGTGCCACTCGTTGGACAACTTTGCATTCGCATACAACCAACATTCTACTTGAAATTACCTTGCTCATTACCTTACTGAGCATTACCTTGTTGAGAAAGGTCTCTCCCGTGTCAAAATCATGTGCCATCTCACCTCGAAAATTCCCAAAATTTATACTTATTATTTTTTGTTTACTTTTCGAGAACCCCATGGAAAGCCCACGACGATGTAACTACCTTGACTGGTGAATGTTCACTGCGCGGTTGAATAGATCGCTGATGTACAAGGGCTCATAAGCACTTCAAAGAACTTACAAGAGAACCCAAGAGTACAAGGATGAGGGGTCACATGGCCTCCCAACACTCTGAGTGTTCGTGCCAGCGTGTGATCGTATGTGATTGCTCTTGGCTTAGAACGGGGTGTATTATAAATCCCTCACATGTATACTGCGAATCATACTATAATTTAAATTATCAATCATGGCCATTGAAACACCAACTCAACTTGTGCCTCCGAGCGCTCATGAAAGAAGGCTGGACCTCCTGAGTGCTCCGCTGTGCCTCGAGTTTAATTATTTTTCCGTATTTTTCTGTTTACGGGGGGTTATGCATTCATTTCAGTGGTCGTAGTATGTATTCTTTTATGGATATACATGATACAAATAGTATTAAGGCGAGGAGCAACGGTCTAAGATGGGGGGCGACTGGTGTAGGAGAAGCAACGGCCCGGGCCCGCCGCTTGCAGGGTAGAACAGTCGATGTGGCAACTTTGGTGCCGCTAGGGCTGATAGCGAGGGTTGAGAGCTATGTACCGGGGGTGTTGAACCAGGAGGGTTAATCATTGTATCTCATTTTCACCGAATCGGTTATTGAAAGGGGCGCCGGTGCCGGAGGCAGAAGAGCTGAAAGCTAGCTATTATTCGAGTCAGGGGAGGGAGTCGCACTCGATAAGAGCAAGATAGCAGGGAAAAGAGGGTGAACCGGGCAGGACAAGAGAACCCAAGCGGATGGAAACGAGCAAGCGGGAACGAGCAAAAACGAGCACGACTGAACAAAGGTGAACAAGGAGGACGAGCGTAGACAATTGAGAACAATCGAGAACGAGTGCGGACGTGCAAAAATGAGTGAAAAAAGGTGATGGGGGCAGGATTGAATAAGAATGGACGTGTATGCGCAAGAACGAGCGAAACAAGAGTGAACGAGGTAGTAAACATAGCAAACGTCAGAATCAGGGACATGGTGCGAGTGTTTGACCCTGATCAAGATTTTTGTCATCGGGAGGAGGCGCTCAAGTAAGTGCACTTGCGCTCAAGGAAATCCCATTCCGTATTAACGGACTCCCTTCGATACACAAGGCCGCTGGTCAAACAAGTGCGATATATGCGGTCATGTGACTTGTCCCTGAGGATCGCGAACCCTGATGACGCGTGGTCGCAATGAGGCGAATTAGCCCCTGTCTCAAGCGGCCGCTATTTCTACTATTTACCCTGTAGCCCATAAATCTTCAACGACAGGCTAATTGGGCCTTGATTCTTTGAATTTCACGCACGCGACTCGCATCGGTCTTCGTAGGTCTATTTTATTTATAAATTTAGCTTGTTATCAGGTGTTGAGTCCATTCCGGGACATCTCTCCCCACGCGCCTTTATGCAGGTGGTCTGTTGCTAACTTGAGCCCGCGCTTGAGAGTCCCCAGGTGTACTGCTTTGGAAAGCTGAAACAATGGTGGGATTGGTCTTGAAATCGCATTGCCAAGTCTTGCTGATGGTTATATAGCACAAGTCTCCGCCTTCGTCGTCCCCCGCATCTCCCACATCGCCATTGGGACGTTCGCCCCACCCTAGTGGGCTGCGCCCGCTAGTTCCATCGTCTGATCCAACTTCACAGTATACCTTACTTGAAAAGCTCGGCACAGGCAGTTTTGGAACTGTATACAAGGCGTAAGTACTGAAATCTTTACTTGACTAGTCACTAAATATTTGGTGGCACGAACAGCACGGACAAGACGGGCCATGTTGTAGCCATTAAGCAAATCGACCTGGAGGACACGGACGATGACATCTCAGAAATCCAGCAAGAAATCGCCCATTTAGCTCAATGCGATTCCGACTATGTCACCCGTTATTATGGCTCATTTGTCAAGGGATACAAACTCTGGATCATCATGGAGTATCTTGCTGGTGGCTCTTGCCTGGACCTCCTCAAACCGGGCGTCTTTCCCGAAGCTCAAATCGCCGTGCTGATTAGGGAGCTACTCTTCGGACTCGACTACTTGCACACCGAGGGGAAAATCCACCGCGACATCAAGGCGGCCAACGTCTTGTTATCGGCATCTGGGCGAGTCAAGCTTGGTGAGTGGCACACACTACCAAAGGTGTATAATCTAATGAAACGTAGCCGACTTTGGTGTCGCTGCTCAACTGAGCACGACGTTAAGACATACTTTTGTCGGAACTCCGTTCTGGATGGCCCCCGAGGTTATCAGGCAAGCTGGGTACGACGCCAAGGC